AATATTTTATTTAATGACATGACCAAACCGCATACAATATTAAAATAAGATTTAGTAAAGACAGCACAGGAAATAAAGGAAATAAAAGTATACTAATTCAAACACTGAAAAAAAGAATGGACTGACTATCTTAATTCAGGCAATTTGAATTATTAATGAGCCATTTGCTTCTGTAGAGATTTACTCTACTGGAAAGATTTCCTCAACCATCTGGAAACTGGGGCTTCAGCTTCTCAAAGGTCAGAAGAACAGGCTGGAGAGGGCTGTTCTTTTTCAGAGCTTAATTATCTGCATTCGGACAATAAAATTAATTATCCATCTATCTTTAAAAGTAAGTGGGCACAAAAAAGGGGGAGATACAGCAGAAAGGTTCAGGGAGGCAGCAAGAATCAGCAGACCAAATTCTGCTTTTAGATTTACTTTATTGATTAGTCTTCTGTTAAGTCACAGAAGCTAGGTCTGGACTTACCCCAGTGCTCTTGAGAATGGAACCTGGCCCAGTTGCTTTGGGAACTGAATGGTAGGGAATATACTGGAGTGCTGGCATGCTCTCAGGTCAGTTACAATGTGGGATGAAGACTTTAACCAAACTACTCTACTGATACTCTTCTGCAGCAGATCTGTTGACATTTTATGATTGCTCAGAATTTATATATTTTATTCAGTTTACAGAATGAATTCTAAAACTGACAAATTGTTCCAAAGAGATGTAGATTTCATGTGAAATATAGTCACCATTTTCTGAACAAGCCTATTCTTTAGGCGTCATTGTAGGGCCTGCCTGCTGCTCCAAGAAAATTATGGTTTTATTCTAAGTTGAACTAGAAGGCTACTTGGGAATCCTTGTTTACTGTTGATCAAACTCCAGATCAAATTTGCTTAGTTTACAATTAAAGATTTTTTCTCTTTGAAAGTAGCTTTACATACAGATTCCAGTTAGAATTTTCATTTTGGCTCATGCATCACCTCTTTTATACCTTTGATACAGCTCTGCAGTTTAAGGTTTTTGACTTATACCAGTATCAGAAAGAATAGCAGCCCACACTTTGATGCATAGAGAAAGAGTAGTGTCCACTTTTGACTCATGCTAAAGAGGGCATGAGCAACAATAAAACTATAGAAATAAAATCCTATAAAATTTACTGATATTGTGACAACATAAGTTGTTAGGTTGATGTGCTACACAAAAAAAAACACTGGCTTGTGTAAAAGCAGAACAGGAAAAAGGAAAAAGGAAAAAAATCAAACACACACACACACACACACAGTCGTGGATAAACAAGGATAAGATTTTTTTCCTTACTTTTTGAGTTGTTAATGCCAAATGCTGAAATGCCATTTGATGTCGGTTTTAGACTAATTCAGATACTTGCTAAGAGTAGTAGTGTGGCTTGATTTTCTTTTAAGGGCATAATCAGCCCCCCACTGGTAATTAAATATATTAATTACAGTGCACAGGGATAAAATGACAGAGCAGGAGCCTGAAACTATCGGTTTACAGCCATGTGTTGTAAAAATTACACAAATATGCTTTAATTCTAGAACAGCTAGTTTAAAGGTTCTAGGAAGGAAGGAAGGAAAGAGACAAAAAGTATTCCCTACTTCTTCAACACGATTTATTCAGTGGCCAAATTCCACCCACTTAGGTGTCAGAATAGGAGTCAATCATGAAGTGGCAAATGTCTGGTTTGATCTTCAGGCTCAATGCAAGCAACAAAGAGACTGCTGTATGGATGCTCTAAGAAAGTGGTGAGTGAGACATTCTGGTTTTAGATGTTAAAAGGCTGGGGATGCAATTAAGAACAGAGTCCTTTCTACTGACTACGTGCTAGAGCTGTGTCAGTTTCTGTCTGTTTATGTTTATTCATATCACGCTAGCAGATTCTTGCAAGGAGTACAAGCAATCAGGAGAAGAAGTGGTTATATACTGGGCAACTATCAGCCATAATAAAGGATGAAAATATTGCTGATTTATAGGGAACTTTAAATAGCATTTGGGAATTTCCTGGTTATTAATTTATTTTTGTGGATTTCCTTTAAATACTAACCAGTAAAAATAATAACTACATCTTATGAGTCTAAGGACCATCTCAGTAGAGAGCTTGATACTGTGTTAAAAGCAAGTGAATTTCTTACACTTAGTAAATATAAGGAAACTAAATAGGTTTTCCTAATAGGAAGATACAAAAATAGTTATTTACCGTGTCAGTTGCTTGAATTGCATTGCTCACAAAATGAAGGTTTTTTTTAAATTGACTTACCTTATTTAATAGTAACAAAGAAAAAGAACAAGTCCCTTTAAAAAAAAAAATTGCTGTGAAAACGGACAGGATCTGAAATCATTATTCTCCTGGAAAACTAAATGTGGGTTGCTAGTTCATGAGTCAGCTACAATTTTATTAGCTTTCTTTTCTTGCATAAAAAGAGAATTGCATGATTTTTACAGCGTTTTGTATGGAATCATTTCAGAAGTTAAGACAATATCATTTATATATTAATAATCCTATGTTTCCCGTACTTGACATGCTCTATTAAAGATTGGCACCATCTGACAATGTTTGGATTTGATTGGGACTTCCCAGTAGAGAATATCTGAGTTACTAATGTAGCTCAAAGGATCATTCTTTGTCTTCCCAGCTAGGCATGCTTCTTACTACTTTTGATCTTGCTTATTCATCACTTCTTTTGGCTCTTCGTTCATCTTTCTACTGCATGTTTCTCCCACTCACAACTGTCAATCTTCCTAATATTTACCTACTTTGGCCTGCCAAAAGGATTCCTTTCCCTGGCTCCTAACATCGGGCTTTCAGCATATCCTAAACCCCATATTAGGATTTTGTTGTAGTCAAAGGATAAGGAAAGGATACGATTCCCTTCTGAGCAAACCAATACACAGGCAGTCACTGAAGAGCAGCACACAGTACTCTCTTCTGTTTGTCCATAAGAGTCTTAGGTAAGAAACATGTTTTAAATGGCATGCCATGATATGTTGCAGCACAACCGATTGTGCTCCAGGGACATCTACAGATATCCCCAGTTGCCATGCGCCCCTGTGTTGGGAAGCAAGAGAATCCCCTGTAGACTTCCTTCCAGGCATAACTGCAAGCAGATTCCCTCCCCCACCCCCACTTGCAGATATGCACACTGGGAAATCCCTCTGCAAGGGATTTCCCCACACCTGTCTGCAAGTGCTGATGGAGGGACTGAGAGTCCTCCTTCTCTGTGTTTGCAGGCAGCATGGAGAAATCTGCAAGAGAGAGTCCCACATGCATCTGCAAGCACAGAGAGGGGAACTTGACCAACTGTTTGTACCTCCACATTTGCAGGTATGTGTGGGGATATTCCTCTGCAAGGATTTACCCCCGTAGGCACCTACAAATACAGAGAGGGGACATGAATTGCACTCCCCTCTCCATGGTTGCAGGCATGCACAAGGGAATCCATTCCCCCACAATGCAAGAGATGCATGTCTTGCACCCAAAGCCCCAATTCCGGCCCCCCCACCCCCCCTTACTCAGACATGTGTGGATAAGTGGGTAAAGTGAGGCAAATATTCCCAAGGCCTGAGGGGGCAAGTCTGCCCTGAAATTCCCAGGGTGTGCAGGACCAGGCCCTTCAAGCCCGAGGAGCCCTTGCCCTAGGGATAAGGCAGAGAAATTACAAATAAACTGATATAAGTGACTGGAAACCAGTTCAGACCTATAACACAACAGAAGTTCAGTGCACGTAAGCCACTTTCAAAATAGCTGAAACTGGTTTAAGATAAATCTGAATGGATGTAGTATCAGACTTACTTGATTTAGGTTAAAGCAGTTTATTGAACTTCAGTCCCAAATCCCCTCCATAGTCAAGTTAACTCACAGTCCCCCAACATGCCAGGATGCATTGCACCTCCCCCACAAACCTCCCCTCACATGGTGGGCAGGCTAGATTTGTCCCAAACTGTCTGCTCCAGCCGAGCAGGGAGGCATGCTTTAGCATCCCCTGGCTTCTGGCCTAGGCCACTGCAGGCATGTGGCTGCATTTCCAGAATCAAGAGTGAATGTCTGTTCATTTGCTTATTGGTTCAGTCTAAGCAGGTTAGACTAACCTGCAAAGATTGAATTGAATCAGCTGCAGGCTTTTTGACTGTCTGTACTTAGCAAGAGAAGTTGGAGAGCCTGGGCAGCCTCACAGTGCCCGAGCTCTTCTGCTATTAGCAAAACAGGTGTGGGCTGAAATCAAGAGACCCAATTTATTACTACCTTCTGCCATGGCCACAAAATTGAGCATTTGTTGTGCAACAGAGGAAAAAGACATATGTTTGCTTTCACTTTGTGTCGCTATAGGAGTTGTTATAGTGGCACAAAAGTGACATCTCTTTCCACCATTATTAGGGACTCAGCACACCACCTTTGCAATGCTTTCATTTCTTGAGCTTAGCATTGTGCTCAGGACCCAAAGACTGATTCTTTACATAAAAACACATCATGTTGCCATTAATACTGTCATACAAGCCACAGATAACCATTAGCAACATGTAGGGGATGCACACGGGTGCACATGTACCCTCTGAGATTGACGGTGCTTCCCTGAAAGAAGCACTGCTGGTAGTGCGCGATGCCTGTAGGTGGTTGCCACTTGATATCCCCCCCCGCTGACACTGCTGGCAGTGTCTGTGGGTGGTTCCCAATTGCTGGTTGGTGCTTGCGCCCCCCCACCCCTGCCACCGCCGCGGCCACCTGTGGGAGCTCCCCACTCACCACCACTGCTGGCACCTGCAGGTGGTCACTGTGCCCCGCTAGTCTCTGGAGGCACGTGTCATTCATACAGATAACCCTCCACCCCCTTTACCATCTAGCAAGATAAATTAAAATAAGAATTGTCAAGAGTATTTTACAAACAGGTGTCCATTTATTGAATAGATCATTTTAGCATCCACTTTTGAGGTGCTATACACAAAATAAAAATAAATATTCACCTACAGTATGCTTCTAATCAATGACTCAAACAGTCCATACCTTCTGGTTGCAGACAAAGTCAGAGGGATTTTTGTTTTAAATGGATATAATCAAGAAGCCCTGTCACTGAGCCAGGCATGACAGGTGGTAATCCCACATCAAATGCTCCACAAAAGAGGTCTGCTACCATCTGCACTGGAATAAAATAATTATATTTTATGAAGCTTAAGCTTAGCTGACTAACTATACATAGCTATTTTTTCCACTTAATTATTAACCATCATCTACAGCTACCGGACCCTGCACAGCTTGGGAGCGCAGCTTCCTAGGCAAGGTTAATAAAAATCCTGTAGGTAAAATAAAAATAAGATAATGTCCCATTTCCCTTTATAAGTTGAGCAATCTGTTTCTAAAAGGTGTTTTAAAAATACTCTGTAGGTATGTACTTGGTTAGATTTCACAATGATAACTGCCTACATGCTGCTACTAAATCTTTTCTATGAAGTAAAACTATTTTTCCATTAGTGACTATAAAGTTACAAAGCCTGTATTCTATCACATAGAACAGCTATCTTAAGCAAGATGGTAGCAAGATAACCATAAGTACACTATAAATGCTGTTTCTCACATAGTGGGGCTAACCAAATGTGTTGTTACATTATATATGTCTTGTGCTTCTGAAAGCATTATCTGTCAGAACTACTAAAAACATTCCACAATTCTCTACAGCTTTCCCACTGATACCTTAAAAACAAACTATAAATTAGCCCTCTCTCCACCAGCTAAGGTTTGTTACTCCCTTAAATTACAAGAGAACCTGTTGATTCTGTCAGTCATTCTCTTTCTTTGCAATTCCTGCACCAAATGTTAATGGGCTGAGTACTGATCCTGTCCTTGATACAGTCCACAGACCCCATGTCTGAATCCAGAAACTCTCCCATTTCCTGGCACTTCACAAACACTAACACAACATTAAACACAGACTTCACTTCCCCATGCTCAGCTGTTCCCAAACTATATCCTCAGCAATAAGAAAGAAACCAAAAGTAATACATATCATGTACTTACAAAATGCACATAGTTGAAGAGGAAGATGCATGTAACAGGGTATGGATTGCACATGAACATTTTAGAGTTGCAGTTACTGGTTTCCACTGACCATTTCAGAGTTGCAGTTACTTGCCTTCTCTACATTTTAAGCACCTGAAAACTATTCTGAAGGAATCCAATAGCAACCGGTCACTGACGAATTAGCAGGAATCAGGAAGTCATATGACTGCTTTCATGCTTATTACTGATAGATTGCATTTAGACTATGGACAGACATTTAAAAAGCCCGAGCCTGAATTAATTCAATCTTTGCAGGTTAGTCTGACCTGCAGCGTGTAAGCTGATTTGCAAGTGAGTAGACATTCACTTTTGATTCAGGAAATGCAAGCACATGCCTGCAGTGACTTAGGCTAGAAACCGGGGGGGTACTACAGCAGCCCTCCCTTCCCTTCTACAATGCTGAGCTGAGAAGGTGTGTGGCCAGGCCCCAGGAGGACTCTATGATTAGGGAGGGGTTTAAACCCCCACCCTGACCTGCAGAGTTCCCAGCTGGGGTATGCTTGGAGGAGGAGGGGGAAGCAGCCCTTGCAGGTTTTTCCCAGCTCACTGCTCAAGGAGCTGGAGTGTTGCCAGCCCCTGGCTAGCACTCTGAGGCAAAGTGGGGCATTGGGGGAGGGAGGACTTCTTGTGTATCTGCTGATGATACTGAGCTAAATCTCCCTCTCCCTGCTTTTTCATACTGTCTGTAGCAAACTGATGGCACTCACAGGTCCCAAGCATTGCAAACCAGGTTATTTCTCATATCTCTCTCTGTCCCCTCTTGAACACTGACAGATTGTAGCCTTTGAAGCAAGCAAGCCAGCAAGCATCTTATTGGCCCATCAAGAAAACAAAGCCACTCTCATTAGTTCAAGCTTTTCTTAAACAGCTTTTTCCAAGGGAGAAAGGGAGGAACATAACCAGCTGACCTGCTGATTAGTTCCAAAAAGCTCTAAGCAGACACTGTCCTGTTTGCCTTTGTTCCAGTGAAACTGGAGACACACACAGACACCTCTCAGCATTAGCTAGCATAGGGGTGGCATGGCCAGATGCTGGCTCGGGTGGGGGGGGCTGCTGTCTCCCGGATGCCATCCCCCACCCCCTTCTCAGCTGGATGGAGCTCTGGCTGGGAAGGAAAGGAAAGAGGCGGGGCTAGCTATGCTCTCTGGACCAGACAGCTCAGCCTAGCCCAGCCCAGCACAGGGCTGAAAAGCAGGCTAGGATGTTGAGGGACTCTGATTTAACTTAAAGCAGGAAGGGGTCTGGGACAGAAGTTCCATAAACTGGTTTGACCCAAATCAGTTAAGTCTAAGATAAACTTGGTTGAATGTAGCATCAGATTGGTTTCAGCCATTCTCCAACTGGTTTATGTGCATTGAACATCTGTTCTGTTACAGGTTTAAACCAGTTTCTGATCATTTAAACTTGTTTATATGTAACATCTTTCCCT